CTCTACATCTTAAAGTAGTTATATAGACCATTAAATATTAATACATTCCTTGATTAATATTTCTTTGGTGTTAGGAAATTTACTTGGTGCTGATAAATATTTGAGAACTTGGTAACTGATTCTTAACGTCTTTTGGGAGTAATTGTTTCCTTTAATTGGCAGGATCAGGTGAACTGTGTCCAGGAAACCAGTGAGGACGAGGGCAAAGAGGAATGAACAACTTAATTGTTAATAAAGACATTTTAAAATCAGATTGTCCTTTTATTTGTTTTGTTTTTAAGTAGGATTCTCTTCATTTTCTAGAGTTTTCCTATGTCATCACTTGTTTCCTAGGTAACTTTTAAAAAGATATTCAATATTTTAATATAGAATAGGATTCTAATTCTAGAGACTTCACAGAGTTCCTTCAACCTTTTAATCAGTTAGATAGCTCTTCACTGTCATAACTAATTTGATTTGGCCATCATTTTAAAATTGCCTTCACTCTATAGGTTTTATACCTAAAATGCTAATTTATTAGCTTGCTCTGATTAGGGAGAAGAAAGTTAGAATTCAGAACAGTTTATTCAAAATTAAAGTAGCCACAAAGGAACAGAGTTGAAAGCCACAGCAGTCACTGGTCCTGTGGAATTTGCTTTGAACTGTGTGTATGCCAAGGTATGAGACCAGTCATTCTGCTTATCTGTGGTTGCCATATTTTTTCAAAATGTCAGGGGGGCCAGTCATCCCAAATCAAGAAATCTTTTGAGTCCATGTCTTGATTAAACTTTATCTTCTAATTGCCAAGTTAGGATCTGAAGCTTTATGGATCTCAAGGCAAAAGCAATCTGCAGTACAATCAGTGGTTTAAAGGCATAATGGGGTCTTAACTACTTGAGTTCAAGTATTTTGCAATTTGCCCTGCCACATTATCTGTTAAGTTACTCAAGTAGCGGTTTGTTCATTGGTAAAATGAGCATACTACCTTTTTAATTGAATCATAATTTTGGTAAGCTTTAGAAACCATATAGCTCTTAGGGGAAAATTAGTAATAGAACCTTAGTGTTGAAGGGATTGGAAGCCCTGGGAGAGACCTTTTAGTTTTACAAGTTACTTAACCTCAAATATTAAACAGGATTAAGAATTCCTGCCTAATGGGGTTTTATGTTGATTAGTTGGTAATTTAGGTATTTGGCATAATGCCTGATAATGTCATTAAGTGTGGAGACAAGGTTGGGGGGAAAGCAAGCATAAGAATCTCAGAACTTAAAACATGATAAAGCCCCAAAGATTTTAACAAGTGACATATAGAACATGTAATGTTTTGCACCAAAAAGGGGTTGAGTTCCACCAAACAATGCCTGAAGTAAGAGAGGGAGCATAGTACTTAGAAATAACCGAAAGAATGGGAGTGAAAAACACTTGAAATTGTGAAAATCTAAATGGGAAAAGATCTCGTTTATGGATTGAAAAACTTAACATAGTATTCCCCAAACATTTATAGATACATGATCCCAGCTTTCTTAAAACTGAGCTGATTATAAGATTCATAGGGCCCCTTACCTCATACCATATAAAAAATTGACTAAAAATGCAACTAAATATAGCAATGAAAACTAAAACCTGGGGGGAAATGGGTAAATTTTCATGACCCTCACTTTGGCAAAGGATTCTTAGATATGAAACCAAAAATACAGGCAACAAGAACAAATAGGTAAATTGGACTTAGCAACATTAAAAACGTTATGCTTCCAAGGACACCATTAAGTGAAGAAAACCCATAGAATTTGCAAATTGGTTATCTGATTAGGGGCTTTTATGCAGAATATGTAAATGACCAAAAACACCCCAATTCTTTGGAAAAAAATATAGACAAATAGCTAATAAGCACATGAAAAGATGTTTGACATCGTCAGGGAATTGCAAATCAAAACCATGGGACACCACTTTAGTAAAGATGAATAAGGTCTGACTAGTTCGGAACAGCACGTTGAAACTAAGAAATGTTCTCAAAAATGTAAGGTGATGGATGCTTTCACAATGTATACAGTCATGTGCTGATGTTTCAGTCAATGTGGACCGGTCTGCATATATATTCTGTGGTTCCATAAGATTAGTGGAGCTGAAAAATTCCTATCTAGTGATGTCCTTAAAATGTGCAATGCACCTGTTGGCAGTAATGCTGGTATAAACCTATGCTGCCAGTTGTAATATGGCACATACAATTATGCATGTTGTATAATACTCGATAACTGTTACTGGTTATGTATTTACTATTATTTTATTTTAGAGTATACTTAACAAAAGTGTGCTTTCATGCAATATGCCATATTACACCAGGAACAGCCTCATCTTTATTGTCGAATGCCTCATTTTCTCTTGTGCTTGATTTTTTACCCTTGTGTTTTATACAGTAACATGCTGTACCAGGCTTATAGCCTAGGTGTGTAGTGGGCTATACTGCCTAGGTTTGTGTGAGTGCACGCTGATGTTTGCACAGTGATGGCCTGGACTAACGGTGCATTTCTTAGAATATCCCTGTTAAAAGTGGCACGTAACTATATCAAATCACAGTGTACTTTAAATATCTTACAATTTAGTTATACCTCAGTAAGATTGGGGGCAGGAGTAAAAGAAAATCAGTTTATACTCACTAGAATTTCTAGAAACAAAACTGTTGGCCAAGGATATGGAGAAATTGGAATCCTCACAGGCTACTGTTAGGAATGTAAAACGGTACAGCCACCATAAAAAATGCTAGTAGTTCTTCAGTTACCCTATAACTCATTAATTTTAAAACCTGAGAAAAACATGTTTGCACAAAATTTGTATGTGAATGTTTAGTGTTATAATGAAAAGGTGGAAACAAATGGCTGTTAATTGATGGATGGATAAACTTTGGTATACCCAAACAATGGAATATTAGCCATAAAAAGAAACAAAGTCAACACAGATGAACTTTTAAAACATGCTAAGTGAACCCACTCACAAAGGACCATATATGATTCTATTTATAGGAAATGTTCAGAGAAATGTACAAAGTGGTTAAGATGGGAGAATGGGGTGTAAATGCTAAATGGGTTTCTTTTTGAGGTAATGAAAATCTAAAATTGGTAACAGCTGTATATATCTGAATACACTAAAAAACGTTAAATTGTATGTGAATTACATTTCAAAATTTTTTTAAAAAAAGAGGCAATGGGAGTGATATTAAGAGGCCATAGCAGTAGGCAGAAGTTTGATCATGAAAGGCCTTGTAGGCTATGTTATGGATTTTGATCTTTATCCTGAGTTTTTTCCTTGTTCTTGCAAACCGCTTGAAACAGGAGGTACTGAAATCACCTAGACTATTAAAATGTCTCCTAACTTGTCTTATTCTTTGCACACTGTGACCCGCTTTCAGCACAGCAAGTTATCTAATGCTTCATAACAAACCACCCCAGAACTCAGTGGCTTAGGGCAAATTATGGTGTTGAGGGTCAACTGGTCTCAGGCAGATGGAGGCTGAAGCTGGAGACTTCTAAACTGTTGGAGTGGATGGTATTGTCCAAGATGGTTATTTCACTCATATCTGATGCCTCAGTTGAGGTGGTTGGAACATTTACATTATTTCCAAAAAATGATTAGATATCTCAATTCCTAAAAGGAAAGAGATCTGGTGACTTTTTGAGGCCATTGAGGAAGACAGACTTTGGAGAATGTTCCACTCAGCCTGTGGTTGGAGAGGGAAAAGACAGATGACAGATGGCTGTAGCAGTGCAGTAATCCCAACAGACTGGAAATCAGCCTTACATTGAAAAGAACAAGGGAAGTCAGTGTGTCCAAGAAAAGAGTTTTTGAACTGAGCAGTAGAAAAACACTTTGCCCGTGTCAGTAGTAGAGGAGTAACTTTTGTATTTGAGGATTTATCAATATTTTACTTGTATCTTAGGGAGACTGGCTCTGCAGTTACCTATTAGTTTGGAACCAAAGCTTTCTTTTCATCAATTAAGACAAAAATCATTGGATGGTGACTTTAAAGCAGTGGTCTCTTAAATCCTTTTAAAGTCTCTCGATTTAAAACATTTTCCATCAATTGTGTTTACTTTTGAGTTCCTTTTAGTTTTCAAAGTGATTTTCAATTTCTAATGCTTTCCTGAATTGTCACTTTTCAAATCTTTACTCATCTAACTCTGATTTACATTGTTTTGTAGCTTTTATCATTTTTAGTTTGGTTTGAAACGGGTTAATTTTTATGTTCTGTAAAGATTTACTGTTTGTCTTACAATTTTCTATAATTTACAATTCTGTTGCTCACTTTTAATGTTAAATGCATTTTCTTTTTTAGGAGGGAGGAAAAGGGACAGAGTAACTTTTCTAGCCTCAAGGCTCACAATATCCTATTTTTATGAAATGACCATAAGATATGACCTTGTACTAAGATCTGTTTCCTTTGCTTCACTCCTCCACTTTATTGTCCCTGTCCTGCTCAATTTGCTATCTACAGCTAGCAGTTGGTCCTTAAATGGATTGTTTTGGAATGAAACAGGTTAGTTTCAAGAGTTCATTAGGATCCAGTCTATACCAACATCTTCAGATAAACTCACTTGCAAATTGGCCTGTATGCTTTCCAATGGAAGCCTGTTGATTTTGAGGAATCTCCTATTCTCAAGGCCATGAGGCACTCCATTGTTTTCCCTCTACGACCTTTTATACAGGTAGCTGGTACCATTCAAATCTTATACTTCCTTTTCAGTTTGTCACTTCCTAAACTTACTTTGAGATTGTGGGGATTACTCTGTCACCAAGGTTTGTTGTAGATGCCATGCATGGGTTCTTTTATGGAGGGGCTTAAGGAGATTAAAAAACTAGTTATTTCTGCTATCTACTATTTTTAATATATTTCTGGTAGTTTGACTGAGAGCATGGGCTTTGGAGTCATTGCCTGGGCACAAATTCTAGATTCACCATTTACTATTTGTGTTACACATAACCTGTCTTAATTTCTTCTATAAAACAATAAAGTGCAGAAAAGTACTAGGTTACAAAGACAGCTGTTTTAATGTAGTTTTATTTTTTGTTTCATTTTTCAGGTCTAGGTCTTATTACTAGCTTTATAGATTTTTGAAAATTAAAAACCAAAACATTTTGGGGGAAAAAAAAAACAGCCTCTTGAAATTAACTTTCATGACAATACAAACAATTGTAAATAACTAGAAAATAATGAAAATGAGAAAAAATCACATAGCAGACCCAAGGTGACTTCAGAGGAAAGTTCATAGTGTTAGGCATGTTCATTACAAAACAAAAGAATGAAAATCTATGCAGTAAGCATTCAGTACTAGAGATTAACTGCCTTCTGTAGTTTGTTTTTTTAATAAAAGTAGAAATCAGTTTTTAATAAAGAGTAAAATGACAATACCAAAGTTGGCAAGGATGTAGAACAACAGAAACACTCAGATACTGTTGGTGGGAATGGCAAAGGGGTATAACTGTGAGGAAGTAAATGATGCACACAGCCTTCACCCATCAAGTCCACTTCTAAATAAGCACTCTAGAGCAGATGTTATTAGCAACTGGTGTGCCAGGAATGGGTAGTTGGGTAAGGCCTTTAAATGGCCACAGTTCCCAAAGCTTCATCTTTTATCATAGTATGGCATACAAATATTCTGTATTATCATCTTACAGAAAAGAGTTAGTTAGTTGATAAGCAACCTCTTCTAGTATGCTTCTTAGATTTCCATATTAGAAAGCTAAGTTTCACTGGAGTCAGGACCTTATCTGCTGGATCTCCAGCAGCTTGAATAGTGTGTCTGGTATATAGTGACTTGCTCAGTAAATATTTGTTGACTGTACAACTGCATACCACATTCAAAAATGACCACTGGAGTATTATAAAAGTGCAAAATCAGACAAAATATCCATGTAAATAGAGAAAGCATGAACTTGTATACTCTAATATATTACTCAACAGTTAAATGAACTAGAAATCCATATATCTCAAAAACATTGAAAAAAGCAAACTGCAGAAAGATATGTACAATGCAAATTATAAAGTTTTATGTAAAGTTTATAAACAAGGCTATGTACTAAGTATAAAATTATATATACATGGAATGACGTACACCAAATAATCGTTACCTCTGAAGAAAATAGAAATGTTACCAGGAAAAGATTTGCAAGGGAGCTTTAACTTGAGCTATATTGTATTTCTGAAATAAAAATCTGGAGCATGGTAAAATGTTAGGACTTAATAAGACTGTTACTTGTTATATCCTTTGTATTTTTCTATGTTAAAGTCAACCATAATTTTAAAAGTAGAATTGATAAGTAAATTTAAGACTGTATAAAAAACAAAACCACTAGTTGGCATAATCAAGAAAACTGTATAGAAGATTAACGAAGTATAGGTATATACAAAGAGAATGCCTTCTACAACTCTTAAGCAAATTACAAATTCTATAAAGTTGATGCAACAGCAAGGGAAAGTAGCAGAGTAATATTCCTCCAAAAGGAGAAAAAAAATTCCAGACCCAGGCATATCTACCACTAAATTCTTTCAGAGCTTTGAGTAACAGATTTCCTTCATCTAAACTTTTGTAAAGTATAGAGATAGAAAAAGAGTCCTTTCTTTTGGGGTTACTTGAAAAATAGTCATATTTTCATAAAGTAGATTAAGAGTTCCTATTGTGTCATCCAGCTACTGTATCAATCCAAAAGAGCAATATTTAATGTTTAAATGTGACGGTTCACAAAAAAAGGATCTATAAATGGCTCAAGCAGATATCCCACCTTATTAAGTGAAAATACAAAATTCCACTCATTTAATCTCCACAGAAATTAAAATACCAACTAACATTGTCAAAGATCAAAATGTTTGATAAAACAGCTTTATAAAGATTTGAAGAAATAGGCACTCTCACATTGTTGGTGGTACTATAAATTGGCACAATCCTTGGAGAAACCAATTTGTCAATATAAAAAAAAATATAATGCACAAATCTTTTGACCTAGCAATTTTCATTTAAAGTTTTATCTTACAGTAACTCACTGATGTGTAATATGACCTGTGTACAAGGTCATATTACGGCATTATTTATACTAGCAAAAGATAAGAATTAAAATGTTTATCAGTAGGACTGTTCCAATATTTTATGGTACATCCATACAATTAAATCTTATGCAGTTGTACAAAAAGGATCAAGAAACTCTTTATATACTGACATGGGACAATCTCAAAAAAACCATGTAAAAAAAAAATGTAAAGTGAAAAGGGCAAGCCAAAGATAAATTTTCTTAAGAGACAAAAATTTGAAATAAAAACTTACAACAGAAATACAAAATTCAGGGAAATCCAAATTAGCAAGTATTATATTTCTTTCATCTGATGGATAAACTTTTCCACAATTCCATTGAGTCTTTCAGGCTCCATCAGTTTATTTACCAATTCCTGCTCAATAGCCATTAGGGCCAAGCCACTGAGCTTCTCTTGCCCCATGGTATGACATAAGTAAGTTTTAAGACGAGGCAGTATAGAAAATGAGTTTTCAACATTTGCTGAAGTAATTGGCCAAGACAAAGCGATATATAATAACTCTGATACGCAAGGAATATTATTGTGAAGACCATGCTGAATAAACAAATAGCCAAGATTGATGAAGTTGATACGATCATTATCTATGACAAAGTTGAGCTTTGCATATTGCCGATAAAATCTAAGTTCTGGGATGATGTCTGCATCAAGTTTATAGAATTCTTGGACATGTCTGGCTGTTGCTTCATTTAATGGTCCATTCCATTTAAATAATAATTCTGAAATTTGCTTCATTTTGCAATAATCAAACTCTGAAAAACATAATTTTAAATTTTGTAAAACAGTATCTAACGCTTGGTAATAAATATTAATTTTATATTGTTCTTCTGCTGAGGTAGGAAAAAACATACTGTCTGAATTGCCAAGGTCTACTGTTTTCTGAATTTTTCTTCTCTTCTGAAAAGAAGGTCTTTCAACTTCAAAACCTTTACAGGTTATTTTTTGACATATTTCCTCTGCTCCATCCCAGATAGTCTTGAAATAGACATCATTTCTTTCAGATGATAAACATTCCAAAATTGCTTCTATTTTTGAAGACAAAGAAAAAATGTCTATGGTTTCACTTTGAAGCTCTTTGGAAAGAATTCCTATAACACTTAGTACTCGATAAAGAAATTTCAAACAAAAGATAAATTCAAATTTGGAAACCAATGTCAACAAATCACTCAATTCATCAGCCAAACTTGTGTTTGAAGAATGGCTTGATACAACTTCCAGTGTTTCAATAATCTCTGGAAGACCCTCAATCACAGATAGTAATGTATGATCATGGACTGTCCAACATGATTGTGATGTATGTTTTTTGCATGTTTTGTTTTGACTTAGCTTACAAATCTTTTGAAAATTTGCAGACATTTCCTCAGACATATGAATAGTGTTGAATAAAGAACTGAGAATATTTAGAGTACTTCGGAGTTCTTTTACTTCTTTACAAAACCTAATAACAGCTAAATCCAAAAAATGTGCATAACAATGTATGTATAAAGCTCTTGGCTCTTCCTTCTTGAATTCTGCTGCAGTTTTGTTAAATTTTACCCTCAAATTAGTGGTACTATCATAGGCCTGGCCTCGTATTTTACTCAAATCAACTCCAATTTGCTGCAAGTAAGTCGTGATAGTCCTGTGTAAGTTGGTCCCAGTCATCTCTTCAATATCTATGAAACCCAAGAATCTTTCTTTAATTAAGATAGCCTTTGGTGTTTTTTGTGAGTATCTCACACAAACTGAAAGCTGTTCTTTAGAGGCACTATAAGTTGCCTCATCACATATTATTGAAAAAGCTGAGGAGTAATTGATCTCATTCACAATATCTTGCAATATTTCGGTCTTTATTGTTTCAATAATATCATTTTGAATTTGTGTACTGTTATAGAAGTCAACTTGTGAATTCATAAGTTGAAATATTTCTTCTCCTTTATCTTTTGCTCTGATTTCTAACAATTCTAAAAAATTGCCTTTATTCACAGATGAAACAGACTGGTCATTTTCTCTTAAGGGTAAACACTGCTTTCCAAGAAATAAAGTATTTTCAATTATAAGCTTTAGGAACTTTTTATTTCCTTCAATCTGTTTTGAACGAACAGATAAATTATCATTGACAGCTTCATCACAAAACTGGTAATCCCTCCAAAATTGCAATGACTTCAAATGCATTTTACTTTTTTCATGCTTTCTGAATTTTTCCATAGTTTTTTTCCAATTAGAAATTCCTTGCGTTGCAAATGATTCTCTTTCATAGCTAAAATTTTTTTGGCAAAACAACTGGCACGAATAACAGAATGTCACATCCTTTTTAACACTGTTTTCTAACTGCTGAAAATTTGAACACCAAAATTTTTTAATACTTCGTGATTTACCTTTAACTTTTTGTACTTTGGATGTAAATTTTGGGCGATTTAGTCCATCAATTATTTTCATAGATTTCAGATTGCATGTAGTATCTTGGTTTGACACTTGATCTTTTTGTACTTCTGTACTGGAGCCAACTGTATGCTGACCAAGTACTGATGAAGATGGTGAAAGGCTTGGCTGTTCCACACTGTTATTAGCAACACCACTACTTGACTCACTGGGTAAACCCTTAGAAATCTTTAGGAGAAAATGATAACAGTTGTTTTAATAGTTTTGAAATAGTCAATTAAAATATCAAACACATCTAGTAACACAAGAGAGTGAATGAGTGAGTTACAGTATGAGCTCCAATTGGGGGAAATATTAATAATTATTAACTTATTTATTTACACTCTAGATTCAGCATTAATTGTTTAAAGGATCTTTTGGTATATAATTATAATAAAAATAATTTATATTGCTCAGATGAGTAGAACTGCTTAATAAATATTAAGAAAATAGTCCAAAGGAAAAACTATGACTAATAATACTTCTATTTAAATATTCTTATCAATAATTTCAAGTCAAACTTAAGATTTGAGAAACAATGTAAATACAAAAAGGTATTTGTTGCTCTACTTTTTTGAGCTCTAGGATCAAAATAGGAATTAATATACTCAGATACACATACGCACACAAAATATATTTTTTAAGTTTCAAACTTACATCTGCAATGACATTTGCTGTTACTGAAGAAACTGTACCTGATAAAATAAAGCATAAATTCAAGACTTTATACCATAATCTATAAAATAGCATCATAAACTATAATTCTTTGGTATCAGTCAACAAAGAGAAAAGAGACTATAGACAGATTCAAAAAGTATGGCAAAACAGTATATACATCAAATATCCTCACATCGGTTTTTACCTTGTAAGACATCAGAGTTCATGATGGGCAGGGCAACATGAGTATCTGCTAATGACACTATATTGCTTATAACTGGAGTTGTATCTTTCTTTGGAGAAAGGAGCTCCGGTGAAGTATCTTGCACCATGGAAACATTTACTGATAAAAATAAAGAGATTTCTTATAAACCAGGAAGAATCAATCTATCAGAAAGCACTGTTTAATAACAAGTATTTCAGTGAACAATGCAAATATCTAATAGCTTTAGGTTTTGCTGGGTATTTGAGTAATTTTTATTAGGGCTTAGGAATAGCCAGGTTCTTTAATATAACGTTAATAACAACATTAAACTGATAATTTACATTTCCTATCATTGTATATCTCTTAACCTTTGCAATGTTTTTATACAATTTACTTGAAATTTCATTTTAATTTAGAAATTTCAAGCAAATCTTTTCTGTGAAATTACCAAGGAAGAACAGAAAAGAGCCTCCTCTAGAATCTATTGGATGTTGTTTCTGACTCTTCCAGGGTTCATAACCTCAACATGAATGGAGCTGGGTTATTGTCTACTGCAGTGATTTCTATAAGCCAGTTTGCAAGATATACAAGGCCCAGGAGCATCATTCACTCCACTGTTTATGTAAATAGCACCAGCCCTATATAAATGTGGCTCTTGGATGGAATACACAGTTGGCCCTGGATTATCTGTGCTTTTCCAAAGTATTTCCAACGAGCTCTACTTCATGTGAAAAATGTTAATAGCCTTGTTTTTACAAGGCAGAGTTAAGTAAAAAATTCTATATTCTATAATACATCTTTATAAATAAAAATTAAATCTCTGGTAGTAAAATAGCCTGCCTTTTATACAAAAATACTGGAAACCATTTCTTTGCAACAAGCTTTGAATGGTTTTGACTTTTAAGTCAGTTTAATTTGGAAATGAATCAAGGTTATAAATTAAAGGAAGCAAAGATTACTAAATTACTAAACCTCTGATAACTACTAAACAAATATTACCTGTAGAAGATTCCATCTTAGTTTTACTATAAATAGAGAAACAATGAACAGAGCAGAAAAGTTCTGTCTTCCCCAAGTCACTGGTAATCTCAATCATTTCATCTGAGGACTTCAATGATTTGCAAAGACCAGATGTCAGGGTTTTGGCTGGTTTCTGTTGGAGATTAAAATAATATTCATATTCCTGGTATATGATAAATTATTAACATTATTATAAAAATATAAGCACTAACACAACTCTACAAATAATGACAATGAAGCCACATTTTTTTACTTTTTTAAAAACCAGGAAAATGGCATCATGGATTGCAATGATCATAATGCAGGAAATTGGTCACTTTATTAGGTATCTTTGTATTAGATATACTAATAGCAATAATACATATGCAAGCAATGAAGAAAGTGGTCATAGATGACGTTCATCATCCCAGGCAATCAAAGCCAACTTTATAAATAATAAACAAGAGTCTTATAATTATAGGTCTTTTCTCAATGCCTGTTTGGGCATCAGCTCAGGAAAGCTTTCTTTATTGGTGCTAAGGAGAAGCCAGAAAAGGGTGCTTAACATATGTTACAACAGGGGTCCCCAACTCCTGAGCTGTGGCGAGTATCAGTCTGTGGCCTGTTAGGAACTGGGCTGCACAGTAGGAGGAACTGTAAGAAGGAACTGTCAGAAGTATTTTATTTCATCTCCATCATCTTACCAACTATCCCCAATGGTACTAAAATCTATATCCCCACATTCTCCTAAAGTGGAACGATTCACAAGCCAATTAATGGAAGGAATTCATCTTTAATTTTCGCTTGAGTCCTATACAGTCAAATTCAAATGGAGTGGTCCTCACTTCGGGCAACAGACTTTTATTCATACCTGCTTGTATGCTGTAATACTCTTTGAACTATTCAAGTAACGAGACTGTCCTTCCATCTGAAGTATATGGAACAGATTAGAGCTAGTGTAACAGTAAGCTCCACAGTTCTCGCAACAGTTCATGATGAGGCTGTTAGCAGAGTGAAACTTTGAAAAACAAGCATTACTGCAAAGATTATGTTTCATGTTCTGGTATTTTACTTCATATTGAATCTAGGGTAAAAAATAAAAGGATTCGGTAAAAATTTTGATATTTAAGCAGAATCAGATTCCCTAAAGGTAAAAAAAATTGCAACTTACAAGAGCAGTTTTCTGACACATGCTGCATTTGGTTAAAATGCTGTTAGTAAATATAGTCACAAATAGTTTTCTTTTTTCTTCATATGATGAGAGACAAGATTGGCTGCAAAAATTTTTGCTAGAGGTGCTATCTTCCAGCTGGACACTGATCACATCCTTTAGATTTAAAATGTCTCTGAAAACAAATGACAAGGGCACCATTAAATACTTTACCACAGTTATAATTTCTTCATAAACTACATCGCTCCCCCAAACAACCCTCTCCCTTGTTGTTTAATTTACCTGAAGAACTGTTAAATAGTTAATATCAGCCTTGAAATAAGAAAACCTGAATTTGGTATCCAGTTCTTTCACTCATATTAAGTAATGATGAACAGATCATTTACACTCCCTAAATGTTAACTTCCCCATCTTACCCTCTGTGTATTGATTGGTGCTAGCCTTAATAGAATAATAAGTCACATTCATACGTGACCAACTTTGGAATCTACAGGATAGAAGATTTCAAAATCTGGTCTGCAAATCCCTGTGGATTCCCCAGATACTTTCAGGGGGTCCACAAGATCAAAACTTTTTTTATAATATTAAGATGCAATTTGCCTTTTTCACTGTGTTGACATTTGAACTGATGGTGCACAAGCAACAGTGGGCCCCTGCAATATTAATCCTAGGTCAATACCCAAAGTATTGAAAATAAGTACTCAAAATAAGTACATGTATATCAATGAATGAAAGGATAAACAAATTGTGGTATATTCATGTAGTGGAATATTATTTAGCTATAAAAAGAATAAAGTACTGATATACATGGTATAACATGGATGAACCTGGAAAAAAAATGCTAAGGGAAAGAAACCAGACACAAAAGGTCACATGTTGTATGATTCCATTTATAAGAAATAACCAGAAGAAATACATCTAGATAGAGCAGGTTGGTGCTTTCCAGTGGCTGAGGGGAGAGGAGAAAGGGAAATGAGGGAGAAACTGCTTAATAAATAAGGCATTTTAAGTTGGAGCGCTAGAAATATTTTGGAACTAAATAGAGACAGTAGTCGTGAAACAACGTAAATGTATTAAGTGCTACTGAAACGGTTTTTGTTATATGAATTTCATCTCAATAAATTGTGGGAGGGGGAAGCAAAGGTGGGTAAAACTTCCAGTCAGCACAAATTAAGGCAGTGGCACCAAAAAGATACTAGTACTAGTGTTATTCACTGCCAGCATTTGTTGTAAAAATTATTCATTTTATTAAAATTGGTTGTTGAGTATATCACATCTTTTTAATATTCTGTGTGATGAATGGAATATAGGCATAAAGTGTTTCCCCTGTGCACCAAAGTATGATAGTTGTCTGAAGGAAAATCTCATGTGGGAATGTTAAGAGTTACAATCTGAGTTAGCTACTTTCTTCATGGAACACATTTTTACTTGAAAGAACAACTATCAGATAATCTATTATCCAAAACCGGGTACCTGACAGATACTTTCTCAAAAATGAATAAAGTAAGAAGACTGTTACTTCAAGGAAAACAACTGGCTGTTATTCTTGCCAATGATAAAATCTGAACTTTCATTGAAAACAGGAATTTTGGAAAATTTGTTATCTGACACCTCCATCTTAATCGCGTCCCAACACTTAAAAGCTTTTCTGATGAGATTAATGATTAAAAAAAATTGTTTTAAAATATTGCATAATGAAATATGTCAATATTTGCAAGAGCTGCATAACTCAGTGAACAAATATTTCCTAATGATTACAAGTAAGAAAAATCACTTATGGGTAAAAGAACCAAAGTACTACTAGACCAATGAATTTTAATAGTATAAAAACTTCATAGATATGGTTTCATATTTGACATTACAACTAACCTTTAAAAAACTACCCCTTGTTTTCCGATGTTGTATCAAAGAGCATCCACAATTAATCTGAAAGGCTAGTGGAACACTCCTTTTTCCAATTACATATTTGTAAGGCCAGATTTTCTTCAGACTTCAACAAAACAATATTTTACAACAAACTGAATGCAGAAGCAGATATGAAAACTCGGCCATTAAAGTGTTTTGCAAAACTGATAAAACAATGCTCACTAAATTTTTCTTAAAATTTCTCATCTCACTAAATATAAATGGCTTTTTTTCCCACAAAAATATTTATGTCAACATGCATGGAGATTATTTTAAATGAGTTATTAAAAATTTCTTGGTTTTAATTTCTAACATAGTATATATTGGTAGACATAACCCACCTAAAACTAAAGCTCTCTGGCTCTTCAATAGAGTATGAAGGGGTCTGGAGACCAGAAAATTTGAGAATTGCTGCTATACGAAATACCAAGATACCTAGAACTCTCAAAATATCAATCTTCCAGAATAGTTTTTCAGATAAAAAACTCCTGAGAACACTATTTTAACACTTCAACATTCACAAATTTTTTAATTATGCAATTTTCTACCCTCAAACAGATGGTACCAAAAACAACAGTTTGTTCTCACATCATCAGTCATTTTATTGGTTTAAAATACAGCTCTAAATGCAGTTATCTGAACTGTGCTGTGTACTTCATTTGACAAAAATTCTAAGGTTTGCTGTGTGCCAGAGAGTATTAAGGCCTTGGGGATATAAAAATGACTATCCTCTAGTCCCTAATGTTAAGAAGTTCATAGTCTAACCTGGGCAGTATCAATTCTTTAAAAACATTAATGATCAATGTTTTAGGAGTTATAAACACTATGAAAACACAGACCATGGAACAATTCTTCTGGGTGCGAGTAGGGTAGTAGTAAGAGGAGAAGGGTGTGGGAATACACAAGAGGTAAAGGTATTTGAGGTGGACCCTTAAGACACAAAATTAGCCAGGTAAGAGAGGCAGAAGAAACTGCACTGACAGAAGCATGAAAGTGAAAATGCTTACTAGTTTATACTGCTATCAGCATACTAGATTGCTGGCTTCTAATTTACTAAAGTTTTAAAATAAAAAATCAAAGTGAATTGTTAAAAGAACCTAAAATTAGCTTAAAAAACTCTGAGCATAGGTCTGAACAACTTTCCTACAAATAAGCGTTATAGCATTAGTGCATGGGCCTATTGTGAATTTTATTGATTGCTCTCAGGCTCTCTGGTTGGTTCTGAAGTGCAGAAATGACACTTCTTAAATATATAGTTCTCAAAGAAAAGTCATCTAACATGATTTAAATGTCATTTTCGAAGCTATTTTTCATTTGGTTCATGAACTAGAAAAAAAACTTCATTAACTCAAAAAAAGATTTTAAATCATAATTCGCTAAAATCTTCAGAACTATATTAATACAAGAGACTACTGAATGTGGAATTTTAAAAAATTTCAAAAAAGCACAGGTTCCTCTGAACAACAGTCTCTCCTAGCCCAGGAATTAGTACTACCTTTCCACCAACCTATAAATAGTATTTTGTATCAAAAAGTTTTTTATTCCAAAAGAAGTAAAACATTTCATATTTTTGCTCATATTCGATTTCTTTGCCTTAAAGAACAACTTATACACTAAATCCTTCCTACTTCAGCCTTTTCGACTTGTCTGGGAGATCTGCTAAAGATGTATAATGGGTAAACTGCAAACATAGCAACATGATACCTTAACTTCTCAGGGCCTCAGTTTCCTCAAAACCAAAAGAAAATGTTTGGACTGGATGATCTCTAAGGTCCCTTCCAGTTTTATGATTCTGCAGAAGAAGCAGGCTGAAGAGAATGCCATATAGCCCATAGCAAAAAAGAAAAGACAAAGTATAGTATTAAAGGGTTGAAAAAGCACAAGAGAAAAGTAAGTAAAGTTCCAGGGAGTAAGACTTGAAGCAACAGATAACACCTGAAGCAACAGCCAAACGAGGAACCAAAGCAACCAATCAAAAAGATTTGTGAGTTTGTTAAGAGAATAGTGAAACCTAACATTTATGAGTTAATACATGCCAGTATCGTTCAGACCACTTAAATGTTATTTAATGCTCATATTTCTCATGTACATTTAACAAAACAAATGGGAATACTGAGAAGTTCTCAATGCTTTTCAAACTTTAGCATGTACAGTAGTCTCCCCTTATCCAAGGTTTTGCTTTCTGCAATCACAGCATCATTACAAAAGGGGTGAGTGCCGTACAATAAGATATTTTGAGAGAAACCATTCACTTTATTTTATAGTATATTGTTATAATTGTTCTCTTTTATTATGTTATTGCTGTACTTAACTTATAAGTTAAACTTTATCATAGGTATGTACGTATAGAAAAAACTTAGTACATAAAGGGTTTGGTACTATCTATGGTTTCAGGCATCCACTAGGGGTCTTGGAAAGTATCCCCCATCAATAAGGAGGGACTACTGTAAATGAAGCACCTGGGGATAAATGCAGTTCTTATTTAGTTAAATCTGGATGAGACCTGAAATTCTGTATTCCTAACAAGTTCCCCAACGATGCTGATACAGCTACTCAAGGATCACACTTTGAGTAGCAAATATTTAACTGTAAATGGAGGAAGCAAGATTCGAATTATGGAAATCCAATTCTAAAACAAGACATTTGAAAAGAATTTATTGTATCTAGAAGTTTTCTTGTTCTGAAACAAAGATACTTAAAACTAAGCATTATTATTTAAAGAGCAGTAACAAACCAGAATTATAGTATGATTAAGACTCTCAAAGACTCTCCTTTATACATCTCAGGGTAGAGTCCAAAGTTCCGGATATTTTTCACCAACTCATTATGAAATCACTACTACTTCCTTTCTCTGCATCCACATTGCCTTACATACGTACTGAAGTCAGCAACAAAGACCACAACAATAGCTCACAGAAATCTTGAAAAGATTACATCGATCCACCTATGTTTACCTATGGCTATTCAATTTTTCAAAAGAATTAAGTAACTTCATTTACCACTGCAAAAGAAACACGTAATTTTATACCTTGGAAAATCCAAAATAACTTACATGATTAATTCTTAGTAGGTTGCTCCTTACACAGTTAAATAAAATAAAATGGGCACATAATAATTTCACTTATAGAGAATTTTGAATGAAAAGAATATGAAAATGAGTTTTAGAAGTCACATTAAAGTTGAGAAAAAGAACTCACATTTTAATTTCTGCAAATCTCTCAATAAACAACAAAAACCTATTTCTAAAGAATCTACTGGAGGAACTAAATGCAGAAACAGCTTCTTTTCACTAATCCAAAGTGATATAACAGAAAAAATGAAAATGTAGAAAACTATAGCCGAGACTCTGATCAAGATCTATGTAGGGAAGTAAAAGGGGGCATAATTTAGAATGATATACTTTGAGCAGTTTGAACAAGTTCTCTTGGGAAGAGCTGGTGAACTGGCAGATGAAATGTATTCAGTGATGCACGGTGTGGAGCAGAAAAGCTGAGTAGACCCTTTCCTCTGATAAGCAGTTTGCCCCTTCTGGAGAATTTTTTTACAACCAGCACAGGAAACCTGAATAGCTGTTGTTGAAACTGAAGGAAGCATTTTATTCATGCCAGATGATGCCAGAGAAAGCGGAATGCCTGTAGTCAACTGTGATGCTACAAACACAAAACAGGAAGGAAAAAAATTAGTATTTACATAATAGTAAGTAAGCATTCTTTCATTTTATTTTAGAATTTGTTTCTGGACTTAAAACTCAAATACACTATTCAAAGGCATTTTAAAAAAGAATAAATTGGCTATCATATTGGTCAGAATAAATATGATTAACTTAAATAATCCTATTACCACTGTCTGAAAACGTAGTATTTATTTTCATTTCATTCTCCTGAGTTTTGGACTGTTGGGCTTGACAATACTCCTAAAAAAAAATTGAAAATAATGAATACAATGCATTTAAAATAACCAGTCATTTGATAGAAAATGATAAATTATGCTCAAGTCTATTCAGTGACTTGTATCACCGAATTGAACCATAATACACAGGTAAGCACTCCCCTTTTGATGACCTTTGGCTGATTAGTACATTATTTTCTATCGTACCTAAATGTGACTTCAGAAATTTTTGTTAACACAGTCCTTCAGTAGCTACTACAAATAGAGAGTAGACATATTCAATAACGACACCTATTTTCCCTCCTTGTTCTAATCTCTAAAAGCTTAAACACAAGAATTGTTAGATTGGGCTGAATGAGTTTTACAGAGGAGGATTTTTTACAGAGCAGCAGGCAATCTATCTAAACTTGATCTAATTTTTGAATGTCTACGGGCCGAAAAAGCAACGGATATTTTCTAGATGGACAACATTTCACAGTGTTACCAATTCAATGGGAGTCACATCCTTACTTGATACTGATTTACTTTAGGCTATTTCTAAACAGAATACTAGAAATAGATTAAAACTGATTTAGTTTTTGTTTCATTAGAAATTTTGGCTAGATCCTATATAAACATTCTAAAGAAATTTGCCATACTTACAGAATACTCACAGCTTGAATCAATTTATCCTTTATATATATATTCCTTAGCATGAAATATCTTTAAATGTTTAAGAATAAAATTGCGAAACTAATTTGGATTAAAAAATAATTTAATTGTATTAATTCTACTACTTAATAGAAAGCAGTAGCATAAAAAGTTATTGTATTATTTCAAGTTAAGAAAAACAAAAACGTATTAACTAAGCCTAAGATAACCTAAGCAATCCTTTTATCAACCCCAAAACCTAATTCTCGACAGTTCATTCTCTCAAATCAGATTATAGCATATACTTGTTATGGCACTTAACATCACATACCTTGGATTATTATTTGATCAACTGCTTTGGGGAAGATAAGAATTTGAAGTTTTCAACCGATAAACCAGTATCTGCATAACTAAAATTTATAAGTAAATACTGCTCTAGAAAAAAATAAGTTAAAATATTTACCTGAGTATTGTCAGGTTCTGTCTTAATTTCATCTAGCCGTAGCAACTGTGGTGCCACTGCCTTGTGTGGTTCACCTTCTACTGGTGATTCTTTCATTTGAGTATCTGATGCAAAGGAATCCTCCAGTTCCAAACTAATGGGTTTCTTCTCGGAGAACAATTTTTAGGTTCCTAAAATATGAACTGATAAAGAAGAATCTAATTTTAAAATCAGTCCTTTTAAATACGGTAATTTTCTGGAAGCACCAAAGTGTCTTTAGACAGCTTAGCCTCAAGGTTCTCACAGCAGCAACATTGGTTTTCTTCCCTTCATCCACTGTTCCCCAATACAGTTTTGCTTTACACTTTTCCAGTAGACCCACTTCTACGCTTCCTTCTGGGACTAGTCTTCTTCACTTCTATTCCCCCCGCCCGCCCCCGGTCCGACTACAGCAAAAAAGCATCAAGCCCCAAAGCTTATTTTTAAGTTACCAAATAGTCTTAGAAAATGTAAAGCCTTCTGTCTGAGGTTAATCCAATCACCTGTACTCACTACCTCTCCCCACCACTGCCCTCCTATAGGGCCAGTTATCTGCATCTTCAATTCCTCTTCCCCTCTTTATTGGTTCATCACAAGTAAGCATTTAAGTACATTCAAGGAACCAACTTCTAAAGTTATTGCCCTCTCTCTGACACTTTTCCTCTCCTTGATATTCTCTCTTTGAACCCTAAGACTCCAAGATCTATTTCTTTTTCCTCCCACCTCTTTGCCAGTCTTTTCGAACATTTATTTCTCCTGTTTCTAAAGTATTTGTGTTTCTCCAAAGCACAATACCCCATGTGGACCAAAAAAATGGTTCTATGTAAAGTAACCTTACAGGGTGATCTGATCCTAAATTCCTAACTGGGCAAGTCATGGGGGGTAGTCACGCCCCAGGCATATAACTTTTTAGTAAAAGGTTTATCTTTGCCTTAAGCAAGACCCGTCTATTGTTTTTGTGAATCTGGGTTAACACACCTTTGAAATGCGCCTCCAGACCCCTCCTTATAAAACTTAACTACCCCCAAGAGGGCAAATACTTTTAACTATCCTGTAATCCAATCCCTGCCTTGCTTTCTCCCACCTTCCTGTAATCTTCCTTACATCCGGAAGTTAATTTCAAATGCATAAAAGAAACTGCAAAACTGTTATTCTCTGAGCATTTGAGATCTTGCTCTCTGGCATATGTCATCAATTTGGCTCAAATAAATTATTAAAATTCTCTACAGGTTTGGATGTATTTTACGTTGACAACCGGGACTCTTCTCGCTCTATGGGTACAACCTTGGATTCAATAAACACCTATAGGCTCATTTTCCCCTACATTCCTGAGCTCTAGCCCATATACCTAATTACCTATTAAATACCTCCACTTAGATGTTCCGCAACTTCTTCAAATTCACAAAATTTAAAACCATATTCTTATATCATCCCCATAAACCAGCTTTACACATGTTCCCGTTCTTGGAAAATGTCATGATCATATATATCCAATTTCCCAAACCAGACATCCAGGGGTAGTCCTAAATTCCTCAGCTCCAAAGTCCCCACATCTAATCACCAAATTGGATTAAATATATCTCTAAATATGTCTCGAATCTATTCTCCCATCACACTTCATACCTGCAACCCCTTCCCCTATCAATGGATTCCTTTTTGGTAAATAAATAGCTAAAAACCAAAATCACAATGTAAAAGATTATTGCACATTCAGGCTTAAAAAATTCCGCTGTGTAACTTCTGTAACTTCAGGAGCCTTTTGACTGCTCAGTCCCAAGGCCTCTTTTTCAAGTACAGACTGGTCCTTGTGTTCTTTCTCCTTGAGGTCTACTTTCCACTTTCTTGGTAGCTGCCACCTCTGACTCTAAAATCCTTTGGAACTCCTTCCCTTCCTGCCACCCTAGCTTGGCTGCGAGTACAAATCTCCTGGATTCCCCTTCCTTGATCACCCCCAAGACAAGACACTTTTTAAAAAAGGGCTTTATAACTCCTGATGATAGAGGTTAAGGGATAATTACAACAGATATGGATAAGTTAAAGTTCTAACAAGAGAAATTCCAGGCCTATAGTTTTGAGTGTATTTGTGCAAATCTTCACTTCTTTAAAATGACTTTTTCTCTACTCTTTCTTCTGGATTCAAACTGCTCTTGGGCTCACTTGCTTCTTTCCTTACCCTTAGGCATACTGCAGGACCACTCCCTTAATCATTAAGCCCTTAGGTCAGCATCAAACACTCTTAGGAACAAAGCCTCAGGTCTGTTGACCACAGAAAGAGTTATGTCAAATTAAAGATAACAGCTCCACACCCATGAAGGCTGAAGGACCCTACCAGCATCCCCTTGAAACCAGACAGAATGACACCAGGACTGGCATCAGGACCTGATGCAATTATCAACTGCCTTCTACCCTAGCCCCAATCAGTAGAGCCCATGATACCAACTCTCTTAGCTACTTATGAGTTTTCCCCTATATAACCTATCTCCTAAAGGTCATGGGGAGCCACATCTTTGAGAGTTAGTTCACCTGTGTCTCCAGGTGTGGCACCATTTCCTTAAATAAAACCTCTACTTTGCAGCAAACTCCTGTCTGTGTGTGTCTCTTTTGGCTTTGATGCATGCAGGCAAAATGAACACCCTGAGTCCAGTAACATGAGTTAGTAGATCAAAGAGCCAAAGAACCCTGCCACTGTCTTTTATTTCTGAGTTTGGGACTCAACCACCAACCCTCGCCCTGATCTTTAACTCAGCTTTTATTGAAAGCCCCTATCTCAAGGACGAAAATTAAATAAGGCCTGACTGTGAAGTACAATAAAAGCTCATATGGCCTCTGCTCAGCCCATTTGAGCATGACACACACCAGCAAAACAAAACAAAAATATCACTGAAAATTAACTACTAGATTGTCATTAAGTAGATTCCCTTTACCTTAAGTAAATATGCTATGCAAGTCTAAACATCAATTAAAAATAAAGCATCTATGAGCTTTAGCATCTTGGAATCCCTTCAAAAGTGTCAGTCATCACACACACAGGCAAATGGAAAGCACTCTGAAAATGTAATTAATGAGGCAGAGGAAAATGTATATAACATTTCCCTAGCTATTAGAAAGAAAAAAATTTATATATGAATAAAAAATACATGACTTCTTTTTCCAGATACACATTAAACTAAGTCTTTGAGATCACTTTAAACCAAAGAGGGATATATCATGGAGCAGAAAACAAAATTCACATTCATTTTTAAACTAAAACATAAGACCACAAAGAAATTGCAAGCTATTAGGAGTTATTTCCTGACACAAAGGCACCTCCAGCGGGAACGTACACATTTTTCTCCTGGAAAATTCGTGTAATATTGCTTATATAAACCTGATGCTTCACACTGCTTTACCTAAATCTTTTTATTCCTCCCCATTATACTTGTAGTCACTTTGTTCTACCTGCAAAGTCATTTTTTGCCTATTAAAATCCTACTCAGCTTTTAAACCAACTTAGCTCCAAATTTTATCAGACTGGCAAGAATTAAAAATAAGACTGATAAATCTATGCCTAACATTGTAGCAACTCTCCCACTGGAAATGACACCAGCAATAGGGATTACCCAGAGGGTACTTTCCAGAACAGAGAAAAAGGAAAAGCCCAAGCAGAAAACAGCATACTGAGCTCAGGAAACAGGAGTTCTGGGTTGTCAAAGCAGTTGGAACTCAAGAGGCACAATCTAGGAGAGGAGAGAACCAGAGAGAAATAAAAGCCCCATACTTGCATAAAAATATCCCCCTCCTCCACTAATTTGGTGACTCCTAAACTGCACATCTACAGAGTAAGACTCCAAAAGACCTACCAGAAAGCAGCAGTTGGGAAGATAAAGAGCTGAGATTATAGTAGCTTTGCACAGCTAAGAACAGAATTGAAATTTAAGGCCAGCAGAGGTAGAGGAAACTTAGGAAAGACCTGGACTTTCAGTCGAGATTCCAGGGGGGCTATGACCTAGGAGTAAGGGCCAGACCCCAGAAGAAAAGACCACTTCCTAGAAGAAAGGGCAAACAAACAGATCAGCTCTAACAAGGCCTAACACCAATCCACAGAAAGGATCAATGTAATCTGCTAGTACTATCTGCCTGCCTAAAGGAAATTAGCCCTCTTTGGAGGAAGCGCACCTAGATTCTCAAAAATTTTTCATCGACAATGTCCAGAATACAATAAAAATTTAAGGGCAACCTCCCTTGCCCCCCAATACAAATAAGACTGACTAAAATCCAAGGAAGAAAAAAAGGCAACAGAAATAGGCTCACAGGTGACTCATATTGGTATTATCAGGTGAGAACTTTGATATGTTTAAGAAAATAGAGAAAAAGACGGAGTTCAACAGAGTCCTGAAATTCCTTTAAAAAAAAGTCATAAAAATTTGAGAATTAGAAGGAAATTAAAATTAAACAGATGAATTTAATATTCTAGGGAAGAAACTTTCCTCTACCTTCAGGTTCTTTTAGCTGGTCTAATAATTAAATAAATCTACATGAGGTTAACAAGAGAAAATAACCAAATTAAATTACATAGGTACACATGGGAACCCCATATACATGACAGTCAGACCCTACATACAAGAAAGGTTCAAAGACAGAAAGGGAAGATGAAGTGTACACACAACATTCTGAGCTAAGGAGGAGATAAGATGCCTTGGGGCTTCAGAGGTGAGGAAGGTGGTTGCAGGAAAACAAGAGCAGATGTTCACAAACAAATGTTGGTGAGGATTTGGAGAAAAGGGAATCCTTGGGTACTGCTTGCTGGTGGGATTGTACATTGGTGCAGCCACTACAGAAAATAGTGTGCAGTTTCCTCAAAAAAAAAAAAAAAAAAAAAAAAAAAAAAATTTAAACTAGAACTACCATATGACCCAGCAATTCTATTTCTGGGTATTTATCCCCCCAAAAATCTAAAACACTAATTCAAAAGCTATATGCATCCCTATGTTCAATGCAACATTATTTACAATAGCCAAGATATGAAAGCAACCTAAGTGCCCACAGATAAAAAGGAAGTGGTACATATATACAATGGAATATTACTCAGCCACGAAAAAGAATGAAATCTTGCCATCTGCAACAACATGGATGGACCTAGAGAGTATTACATTAAGTGAAAAAATTCAGAGAAAGACAAATATCACAATTTCATTTAAATGTGGAATCTAAAAAACAAAACGAACAAACTAAATAGAAACAAACTCAAATACAGAGACAAACTGATGTTAAAAGGTATTGAGAAGTACAAATTGCCAGTTATAAAAATAGTTATGGGGATGTAAAGTACAGCATAGGGAATATGGTCGATAATACTGTAATAACTATGTATGGTGTCAGACAGGTACTAGACTGATCAGAGTGATCACTTTATAAATTATGTAAATGTCCAATCACTATGCTGTGCATCTGAAACTAATATAATATTCTATGTCTACTGTAATTGAAAAATTAAAAAATGATAAATAAAAGAGCAGTATTAAGTCAGAGAAAGACAAATGCCATATGATTTCACTTACGTGTGGACTCTAAAGAACAAAACAAACAAAACAGAATCAAACTCAGATACACAGAATACTTTGATGGTTGCCAGATGGGAGGGGAATTTAGAGAGTGAAAAAGGGGAAAGGATTGAGAAGTACAAATTGGAAATTACAAAATAGTTATGGTTAATATGGTTAATATTAAAATAATGTTATGGTTAATATTAAAATAATAGTTAATAGTTATTTAAAGCATATTACTTTAAATTCAATTATTTTTGTTGGTTCTTGCATGTTTCCATAAGTATCCCTTACAATTTAGCATTAATTGACATTCAAAATATTTTCAACAAGAGGCATTCTTAGTGCTATTGGATATTATAAGTGTATTGTTAAATTGAATATTAAAATTTACCAAAAATATCAACATTATATGCATAAAGATAAAATTGGTTGCCTTAGAGATTGACGTGTAGTTCATATTTTATCTGAAATTTACAGGCATTTATTTTGAATGGTGTTGATCAGCACAACCATAAATAAGATGTGCTCAGACATTTTCTGAGAGCAGTGTGTTCTGAATAAAGTGTAGTGAATATTTAGTTTCAGCTTGAGAAGTTGTACTGCACTCTTATTTTTCTTACAAAAGTATAGCGGAATGGTGAAAATGTATGAGATACTTAATTTTCTTCCAAAACTGAAAACAAGTAGCACAGATGTTTGTTATTACTTTCCCCCTTGTCCTTCCATATATGTGAATATGTATAAATTTGTATATTTTAATCTGTATGACAATTATGTGAGAATGATATATTGCATATAATAAACTCTTGTTAAAAAAGAGAGATGTTCAGTAATTACTAGTTTGCTCTACCATATAGATAGGTCAAAAAAACTTATTTCTGGTGATAACTCTTATTATGGGCAAGGCCTCTAACTTAAATTCTTCTAGGCTATTAAAGGGGAGCATAAATTTCTCTTGAGCCCCTAGGGTCTCAGTTGCCTTTAGCTCAAAATAATTCACATGCCACAGAGGTACATCTTGGGATGACTTGTTCTAAACCCCCACAATATCAAATTAGTGAATTTAAGACAAGTTAGTAGAAGGAAGTCAGACTGAAGCATACAAGGATAAAAATACAAACAATGTAAGCAACATGTGGAATGTGGCAAAAAGGTCTCACACACATGTAAACAGAGTTCCAGAAAAAGAAAAAATAGACACTGCAATAGAAGCAATATTTGAAGAAATACTGGCTGGACCATTTCCCCAAAATGAAGAAAAGTATCAAACCATACAAATTCAAGAAGCTTATAAATAACAAATAAAAAAAAACCAAACAGGACTATGCACATCATAGCCACACTGAAGAAAACCAGAGATAAAAAGACATCTTAAAATAAGGTAGAGAAAAAAGATATTAACATACAGAGGAACGAAAATAAGAATGAAAGTTGTCTTCTCAGAAACAATGAAGGCCAGAAACCAATGGAATATCTTTAAAAGTGCTGGGGAAAAAAATCTACCTAAAATTCTACAGCCAATAAAAACATCCTTCAAAAATAAATGTGAAGGACATTTTCAGATAAATAAAAAGGGTGAGAATTTATTGCGGTAAATCTACATTGTAGAAATGCTAATGGAATTCTTTAAGCTAAAGTGAAATATTCAATGAAAACTTGTAAAGACTGGAAAGAAAGCAGTATCTTTTTTTGGTAGACAGCATGACTGTATTTAGAAAACCACAGGAATGTCCTCTTCCCTCTAATAAAAAACTACTAGAATTTGGCAGGATCACGTTAATATAAGGTCAATATTTAAAAATTTCTTCTCTCATCACTCTTCTTCACTACAGTACTAGAGGTTCTAGCCAGGTCAATAATGCAAGAAAAAATAAAAGATATAAATCTTGAAAAGAAATAAGTAAAATTGTCATTATTTATAGATGACATGTTGTGTACACAGAAAACCCAAAAGGATTTCCAAATAATACTGGAATTATTAAGTAAATTTAGCAAGGTCAATATTGAAAAATCAACTATTTTCTTTGTATTAGAACAATTAGAAAATAAAAAAATTTAAATAACTATATTCTATAGCATTATAAAACACCAAATACAGGAATAAATCTAATGAAATGTTAAGACCTCTACACTGAAAACAATGCTGAAAGAAATTAAGGAAGATTTACATAAATGAAGAGACATAGCATGCTCACTGACTCAATATTAAGTCAATTTTCCCCAAATTAAACTACACATCAAAATCCTCACAGGAGTTTTTGTGGAACTTGCAAGATGATTCTAATATATACACAATGTATACAGAACTTAGAAAAGCCAAGACAATCTCAAAAAAAAAAAAAAAGCTAGAAGACTTACTATAAAACAACAATTAAGATAGTGTGGTATGGATAAAAGCAAAAATAAAGTGACTAATGAGAGTCTAGAAGCAGGTATACTTGTACCTCATATTTCTTTGCATTACAGCTACTTCTTTATGTCACACTGCAAAGATTTGTTTTATTCAGTTGAGTTCTGCAAGTTCTTTTACTGGCATAATAGGAAGGATAGAGGTAGAAAACTAAATGCTCTTCAAGCTAAACTAAAATGTCCATGCTTAGTTCTGTAGGTAATGTGGAGCCACTATTCATTAAATGCCCTGGTACTGAGGTTACAGAGGCTATTAGGATGTCCCCATACTCATAATGCTCTGCCTAGCACACTATAACTGCAATAATGTAAATGTATAGAAGGTACAAAGCAGAAATGAGTAAAGAGAAGATGGTTAGTCTTCTAGATGGCGAATTTGAGGTAAATTCTAAAGTAGGTTTCTATGAAGCGATAATGGGGAATATTCCAGGTATAGGAACGACATGGGCAAAAGCACACAGATATATGGAAACTATAAAGAACAGAGTTATTGTTGAAGATAAAAATGCAAAAGAGGTAGTAAAAGGAAATGAAATTTGAAAAGCAGACGGGAATATCAGGAAGGTCTTTGAACACCAAAAACTTTGAAATAATCTTGTAACTCAGTGGCTTTTGGGTTTCAGCAAATATTTCATTCATATCTCATTTTTAAATAAAAATATAGTTAAAAAAAACTAATAAAATCACCAGATAAACTTAATGTGCTCTATATCAAATGCTAAGTAATTTGGAAATGTCCAAAGCATTAATTTGTGCTAGATTAACACAGACCTTCAGAAAATAGCTTTTCCTGCCATCTGGTTGAATATACTTCAATTCCTTATAGCTGTGTCATTGATAAGGAAGGTTACATCTTTGCACCTATCCTTTTTACCTCACAGAAAACCCTAGAAGCAAATTCACTATTTTAGCAAGGGCATCTACTACTCTAATGCTCTTGCTCAATCTAGGAGTTAAATGGGCAAAGTGTTGAGTCCTGTTACTGTCAGGACTAAATGTAATATAGTTATAAATTATAATAAAATTTAAGGGTGTCTTCTCTTATAAATTCGTGATGAGGAATACAAGTTATTGTCAGATATTATTGGTGATTCAACTCTTAAAATTCTCCACTTATCTAAAATTCCGGCTTTTGGTTCAGTTTAATTGAAAAGTATAACGAGATTGCATCCTGAGAAAGCTGAAAAAGTTATTGTTTACAAACACTAGTCCATGCAAACCAAGATACTCTCAATCCTGTACACTATATCAAAATACTGAAAGTAATAAAGACTGCACCTTCATCTACTCTCATTACAAGGCCGAATTCATCAAGAGTCAAACTTTTATAGTAATTAATCTTTTTTTGGCTTAGATCCTGTGTAAACTCAGTTTGCAAAAGAAGTTCCAGGTTTTTAAGTTTAAAAAAATCATCACAATGAAGGTGAAGCCACAAACGAGATCAGATGAATGTTTTAGAAACGGAGGCCGCGGTGAGACCAAAGGCTTTAAAAAGCCCAGTTAACGACGCCGGAGCAGTAGGCGGCGAAAAATGCTAGAAGTGTGTGTGGGG